TGCACACACACTGGGACAGGCTGTGACTGGGCCAGTAGCTCAGGGCAGATGGTGTACGAGGCAGGGTGCTCTGTGTGTGTGTGTGTGTTTGTGTGTGTGTAGGTGTGTGTGTGTGTGTGTGTGTGTGTGTGTGTGTGTGTGTACTGGGTGCGGTGCTTGTTTTCCAGTCGGAGGGAGGAGACTTTCCCTTTCCTCTTCATTCTTCTCGTCTGAAGTGAAACGGTAACAAACCTTTAACTATTAACTTTGAACTTTTTACTTTGAACTTTTATTTAACAAAGTCAATAATGAGGGTGAAGGTTTTGTGTGTTAAAAACCAAACTATCTGAGAGATGATCACGTCAAGTCCACGGCCGTTAGTTAGTTAGTATATTAGATTTCTCGTGGTTATTTTGTTAGTTACTATTTTTTCTGTGTTCGTTAGTAAATTATATAATAGTTAGTGATTAGTCAGTTAGCTTTAACTAAATTAAAGTTTGAAAACACAGTTTTTGTAAAAATATGGAGCTGCTGTGGCTGAGCGTCGGTGGTTCAATCAGTTTGTGAGACTAGAAAAGATCTTTACAAATACAGAGCATTTACCATAAAGTGTTGGATTGATACTGAGGAGGATTTAAAGGAGCCCTTGTTGCCTGCACAACATGAAGTGAAGCTGAAACCTCTTCAGGACATGTCTGAACTTTTGTACTGTTTGTTCTATCTGACAGAAATGGATCCTAAATGTCAGTCAGGTGAGGCTGTTGCATTGTATCAGGAGAAGTGTAATGGGTACCCTGAACAGCATGGACAGTTCGGCCCTCCCGGACAGTTCGGCCCTCCCGGACAGTTCGGCCCTCCCGGACACTTCGGCCCTTCCGGACACTTCGGCCCTTCCGGACAGGTTGGACAGCCTGTTGGACCTGTAGTGGTTGACCATACCACTGTGGAAATCACCACTGAGCCTCCCAAGGACTACATCATCTGGTCCATGCTCAGTTTTTTCTACGTAAACATCTGCTGCCTGGGACTTGCAGCGTTCATCTGCTCGGTCAAGGTGAGTTCATGTGTGACGTGTCTGATCCTTCATGTCCCTGTCGGTTGTCTAAATATATTTTTAAAAGATTCACAACCTCATGTTGAGTCAATCACGTTTAAAAAATGATCCCGAAATCCACTGGATCACAGAAATGAGTTTTCTTCTCTTTGGCGTGTGGTCTCAGAGCTGGTAGATATCAAAGTGGAACACTGAAATAGACTCGGAAACAATAAGCATAATTTCTCAGCTTGTCCAGAAGATGAAATTCTCCTTGTCCCTGACGGCTGCTCAGGATTTGATGGAGCCGATGTTTCCTTTTTCTTTTTTCACGACAAAATCCTCCTCACTGCTCCACTTAGAACAAAAATAATAATAGAACGCATCAGACTCAGTGTTCAAGGTTTCAGTGTGTGATGATTTTTATTGGATTAAAAAATGAAAAATACGGACTTGGTGGTAACACAGGCTGAGGCTCCACCCACACTGATACAGTTTAAATTAAGGCACCTTCGTTTACAACTAACATGTCACATACACTGGTCATGTGGTGTAAACAGGAAGTAGATTGTCTTCTCTGCAGTTGGTTGCTTAGTTAAATTACTACCAACGAGGATGATGGTGAATATAAGATGATTAGATAGAGCTTAGTTCAGTTTTTGTAATTTTTTTGTTTGATGGTGAATCCACTTTGAAAATAAAAAAATGCTTTGTTTCTTTCAGGCCAGAGACAAGAAGATAGCTGGAAATATGGTTGGTGCCCGACATCACAGCTCCACCGCCCGCACGCTCCTCCTCATCAATGCAAGTCTGTTTGGCGTCTTGGTCATTATTACCATTATTCTCTTCTTCGAAAATCCAGCCATCGCAGGAGGCATCACCAGATTTTTTGTCAACAAGTTTTAAATGAGCAAAGACAAAGGCTGTTGCTGCCGTGTTTCTCTGATCTGTCACATTTTATCCACATTTTACAGCTTAAACATGTAGTGAGCATGGCTGCCATGTGTCTGTGTGGCCAAACTGTTTAATGTGTCAATAAAAGAGTCTGTTCCCCAACCAGTGAGGATTGATCAACACCATCATGTTACAGAACATTTCAGACTTAAATCAGACACAGGATGACAGCTGCACAAAGATCAAAACTGTTTTTACAGAGCAGATTCAACTTTAATGAATCAGTGACAAGTGATTTAAAAGCTGCCACAGATTCCTCATCCACCAACTGAACGCACCCGAGACGCACTGAGTCTAAATCCACAATGACACATGTTAATTTTAAACCATTCAAAACCAGAGTTTTCAAACTGAAACCAGATCAGTTCACACTCGTCTCTGGTCCAGAGGCTGGAGCACTCCACCAGGTGTAACCATAGCAACAGTGATGAGTTTCAAAACTAAAACGTGTGGTTGACAGTCGTCTGACACCAGACCACCAACTGTACAGAGTACAGAGTGTGCAAAAAGACAATATTATTGTATAAAATGATATATAATATCAATATGGTTTAAATTAACACATATCACATATGATGTGAAGTAAATGTTCCAGTA